TTTACTTTCTTTCTAGTTAACCCACACAACTATCAATGAAATATTGTACATATATATATGTATAATAATAATACCATTAAGTTGATTTTTATGCCCTCGTAACTTAATTTATTTTATTATTTATAATAATCTCGTAGTATGAAGGTACTCCTTTACACTGCAGTGCTAGGGAGACTGGTAGTGCTAATATTATCAAATTATTAATAACTAAAGGAAAGGCTGATGTGAATGCTGTGGATAAGGTAAAGCTTATTGCATAATCATTTTTAATCATATCATTTTATAGTACAGTAGAACTCCATTGTTTTATGCTGTTAAGAGTGGTATTATTGAAGCTGTTGATATTCTATTAACTAATGGAGCAAGAACTGATGTTGTGTCTGAAGTAAGTATTAGTGCTGGCATTTATGGGTGATCACATTTTAAAATGTGACATGCTTTGTGTTTGCTTGATAGTGATTTTGTGTTTCTTGCACACAAATTGGTTGTTCATTGAGTCACTAAGAGGTGACTTCCTTTAACCATTGATTCATATTCATTAACCCACATACCCATCAATGAAATATTATACCTTTGATTTTTGGTCCTTGGTAACTTAATTTATTTTTTATCTATTTTATTGTTTATATAGTATTATGGTACTCCATTACACTGTGCTAGTGAAACTGGTAATGCTAATATTATCAAATTATTAATAACTAAAGGAAATGCTGATGCAAATGCTATGGATAAGGTAAAGCTTATTGCACAATCATTTCTAATTTTGTGGTATTTACTTGTATAGGACAACAAAACTCCATTGTTTAATGCTGCTAAGAGATTTAAGATTGAAGCTGTTGATATTCTATTAAATAATGGAGCTAGAACTGATGTTGTGGATGAAGTAAGATTGCTAATGTACATGCATATTGTACATGTGTACGGCATACATGTATACATACATGTACATGTACATGCATAATGCATATTTTGTAAAGTTCAAATAAAAGCCTTGGCAAAAATGGGATTCAAATTCGAAATCTTGGGTTTAGAAATTAACAAGTTAGGCCATTTAGGACATTTTAAGATGGAGGGTACCTAAATTTATGTGACAAAAAATTTTCGTAAACCCTGCAATTCTGAGATTTCATTAATGAATTTTTGTGAATAGCTTGCAAACTGTACCATGGTTACGGGGCAATGGAGCTGCAGAATTTTGTGACTTTAATTTTTGCAACAGAGCAAAGATTGTGAAATTTAAAAAAATTTTTGTTGCATAAATTTTATGATATATGTATACGGCATATTGAGTAAGGTGTACTTGGAAGATATATTTTATATACAGTATAGTACCGGGCATTTATTTGAGCCAGGCTTTTATTTGAACATGGTACATTTGTTGAATGTATGTACTTGTCACTGATATTGTGCAATGCATATATACATGTACATGTACTGATAAAAAGGTTTTTAAATCACACAAATTAGAGGCTGTAATTATTGTATGCATCTATAGGAAGCATTTTTGTATGATACAAAAAATGTTATTCTATAATCAGATCTAAATATATTAAATTGTTTAAGTTTGTTTTAATTATCATTTTCTGGGCACAGCATGGTTTTGGACTTCATGTTCAGGATTGGCATTAGATGATTTTGTTATTTTATTTGTCTAGTATGGTAATACTCCTCTGTTATTAGCTGTTGAAAGTGACAGATCATCTCAAATTATCAAATTATTGATTATTAAAGGTCAAGCTGATGTTACTGCTGCTTGTGAAAAAGTAGGTTAGGAATAAATAATATTATTAATTTACCTATGACAGC